CTCTAGCCTCAGAAGCAGCCACATGTTGTTGCTTTTGCAGCAGCAAGTGGGTGCCAGGACACCACGCTGCTGCTGCAGTAGGAACAAGAGTTGGGGTGGGTAGACCAAACTGGCTGCAGTTATGGCAGCAGCCAGGGACTGTTTCTGAGTCCCTAGTGTAGGTAAGACTTCTCCACACCACCCCAGTCCGTGGAACCCCCTCCCCTCCAGCACTTAGCAGCACTTCCCTGACCTGCATCCCCTACAACTCTCATGGGGTATGCCTAGGGTGCATACCCTTTTTGCTACTCTTCTGGTTGATAACCTGAAAAGTAGTTATCTCCCAGTTTTTGGCATAGCTGGCCCTAAATCCTGCAGAGGGGATTTTGCAGAGGAAGCAGGTAATGATATAGCAGAAGTGCTGCTCTTATATTCTTTGCCCTTTCTCTTTGCATTTGCAGACAAATAAAGACACTGGGAGTGACTTAATTCTCCATAGTACTCAAAATAAGGGCACTGATACAAGTTTTGAGGAACAACAGTTTTTGGGTGTTTATTATGTAGTATCTCTTGCTAACAGCTCAAGATTTGGTGATACAGTAAGGGATGAAGGGGACTACAGGATCATATAATCTATCATCCTGCCGTATTTTAAGCCACTTTCTGTAGTTTCTAAAAGCACTCCCAATAACTGATTTTGAAATCTCAATTTTAAGCAACATCATGTTCTTAAATTTGCTGCATAGTTGCAGCATCTGCACGATTGTGTGAGAGCATGGTTGCAAAAGGTGGGTGCTATGGAGAGGTCTAATCAACAGATTTAAACTTTATGTGGGGCAGATAAAATGCCAATTAAAACACTGTTAAGAGTGATTGTTTGGTCTGTCTCTTGTGTTTAGACTTGGAATCATGACAGAATCACCCACCTCAGTCCAAGATGCTGTTGTGAGAGAAGGATAAAGGAGGGAGCAGACTAACCTTGCTCCATTGAACAGCCAAGCACTGTGCAATCAATAGTTGATTTCAGCGAAGTTAACTTACAGCACCCTGTTGGCCATGGAGGCAACTGTATTTATAAGGACTACAAAAAGCAATTGTATAAAATGAGGAATAATTATAGGGTCTTTGGAAATAGGAAGAAAAGCCCACTCACCTGTCACAGGATGGGGGTGTGTAGTGGCATAGCACTGGGAGCCAAAATTCTTCTGGTCTATCTTTGGCTCTCCTTGATTAGCTTGGTAAGGCACTTAACTACTCGGTGCCATACTATAGAACTGTAGTTGTGTGATTTTTATATGCCTGTACAAGTGCTTTGAGGCTTAAGGTTTGCAAAGAGCTTTGAGACAGTTGAATAAAAAGAACTGTAGAAGTATAAATCACTTTTATTTATTATGTACTTTCCGTATTTAAAAAAAGACATTTCCTTCCAGAGAACCTGTGGTACTGGAACAATAAATCCCTTCCTACCATAGAAAGCCATGTCCTTAATGAAATATATGCAATCTAGACAATCTTGCTGTCAAATAGGGGGAAGGCAAAGAGATGTTAGAAAATTGCCATAGGACCAGGGGAGTATAAAAGGATGCTTTGCAGCTTGCCCTCTGAGCTGTGCCACTGAGGGGGATCAGTCCTTTTTTCACTGCTTATAAAAGTGAACCCCAGTTGCTTGTGTAAATGAACAAGCAATAAAAAGCCAGGTACCATAGCTTTTCCTGGATGCTAATATTGTTGCTCCCCTTGTGTCATAATTCACATGTGTACAGGCACATTCCATTTAATTTGAGCCACAAAAGTATGGAAATTATCAGGGAGAGGCATAGTGTAGTTGAGACATCAATATCAAGGCAGTGCAGTCAGATTAATGCTCTGAGCATTAGGCTAGTATCTATAGGAGAAGCAAGGTCATGTGCTTGAGGTAGATTGTCGATGACAGCATGAAGACTATGGATGCAGCAGTTTTAGGAATAATTTTCTTGAAACCTGATTTATGCTTGCCCAGGAGGTTAGAGCTTTACATATTCAGCTGGCAAATACTGGAGATGCCTGAGGAAGGCCAATAACCATTTTTGTGTTTCTTGTATACAGGAAATGGCAAAACATACTTTAAATGGAGATGTTTATGTTACATGAAGCCATTCTTGTACCAGATTTAATTTCATACATAAACAGCATTCCTGTCATGAAGTGTAGGATAGAAGCCTGGCTTTGTCTAACAGTTACCAGTATTGTTCGCTGTTGGCTTTGGGGACAAGTTTTCCACGTGACTTCACCCAGGACATGGAATCAAATACATGATTTTGACACTTTCTTCCCCTAATTCTGAAGGCATGCATTTAGTGGGCACTCTGAATTTTTGTTTTCCATATTAAATTTAAACAGGGCCAGATAAAATGTAGCTCATTGATCAACTCCAGACAAACTCATTGGTTTTTGACAAGATAAATTATCTGTCTCAAAGGTCTCACTGTTTGCTGAACAAATCCTGTGGCAACCATCAGTGGAGGGGGAGGTGGAAGATGATAAGAAATGAAGGGGCCTCACTTTCCATTCCAGCTGATCTCTACTTCACTTGGTCACTATTTACTTCATCCATCTTTAGGATTTCTCTGTGGATCCTTGCACCAATTCAGGTCCCAGTCACAAGAGAAGCCAAGGATCTTATTGTGAGTGATTTACTTGCAACAGGTCCTGAAAGGCTGTGAACTCAGATTCATTCAGACTAATGGAAAAGTTAATTTCAGGATCAAGGGTGAAACCAGGAGTAGAATATGTTTTCCTTCAGCTCCTCAGAGTTCACAGATGGGCTCCTAGCTTTAGTGCTGTGATGCTAGATATCTTCCTCTGTGATGAAGTAGACTTTAAGATCTGTTTTAAGATCTTACTATGGCGTCTTTAAGAACAGATATAGATATGTTCCTATGTAAGAAATTTGAGATCTGCCATTGATTACTATGGAAGCAAAATCACGCTTTTCTAGTAAAAGCTGTTTCATTAGCCACAGGCACTGGGAATTTGGTAGTTCTTTTTCTCAGATAATGTGTTGTTTCTGTATGTTCTTCTTGCTCACCTTGCCCTTCTCCTTGGCATTTCTACTGTTGCCTGCTGAACTGGCAACTTCTGTAACCATCCTTCATTGAGGCAATCTAATGGAGTATGCATGACTCAACATTGGATTCAAATTAATATAGACTATGTAGCTTCAATGTGGAAAGCTGGTTACTGGCTGAAATTAGGGAGAGAGAGGGGCTAACACTTTGCTGATTGTATGGGATAGAGAAATATAAAGGAAATTGTACAGTGACAAAAACAATAAAACAAGCAAATCTTGATACTAAAATACATCTGTGCATTAAAGTATTTAAGCATATGATTATCTTCACAATAAAAAGTGAGTGTTTTTCGGCTGAAGACAAGCTTGTTTATCTGCTTACGGTAAAGCATGTGCTTGAAACGTTTTGCTACAGTGGTGTCATTTCCTTCTGAACAGTTGAAAAACAGAAGACCAGATCCTACATTTCTATTTTTAATGCTAGTGTTATTAGGGGTTTGGATGCACCAAGGAAATGGCAGTGTATTCAAATATCAACTTCTTTTCACTTAACAACTTGTGTTTCAGGAAGGGGCCATTGAAGGAACCAATCATGAACAGAAGGCATGGCCTAGCCTTTCACAATGAGGCAAGACTTTGGACCTATATCAACTGTAATTAACCTGGCAATTCTCTGTGGTGCAAAGAACCTATTGGGATTCCTTGCTTGCAGCCAGGAAGTGCTGGGTCTGCCTGATGGTAGAATTTTATTGGTTGAAAACATTTTAGATTTGATCACTTGTTTCTTTTATTTACATGTTCCTAGCCAGCAGCTCCATGTTATAAATAGGTGTGTAAGGTCTATACGAACTGGATTGAGATGGATATGATAGTGTAACTATGGTGATCCAGGAAATATGCAAAGCAAGGATTTTTGTGAGTGACATCTTTTATTAGACCAACTGCATATGCATCTTGATGGAGACGTTGTCTTTGGGATAAAAGTAGGTACAGAACGTAGAATGTCAGTTTCTATGTTTTCTCTATAATTTGTATTATTGAAACTGTGTATGTCAGAGTCTGTTCCCAGTTGTGGTAGGAAAGGCAAAGATTACTTACTTCTGGTAAGACGCTGCTATGGCAGTGATTGAAAAAACTGTTGAACACAAGCTGCTTGCTTCATTACATACATGTTTTCTCTCTAGGACTGCCTATACCAGTTGGTTTGGTCAACATTATTAAAACAATAGGAGAAAGTACCATGTTACTTGGTTGGGAGAGGCCAGTACTTGATGAATTAGGATGTAGCAATGGACATTTCATTACAGGATACAGGGTATGTATACGTATAAAGCAGTGCCCTATCCTCTACCAGAAGAAATCAAATATTTTATATCATGATAATTTTAAAAACTTCCTTAATATTTCTGTGTAGGTTTTTTCACATGCATAATTTTGTTTGAAGTACATCTCAATGTCAGTTCTTGGAGAAACTGTGCGAATAATGATCAAAAACAGCACATTGATTTATAACCCTCAATAAAATTGTTAAAAGCATTTTTGATGACAAAAGCAGACCTGTTATTCTTGCTCAATAATTTCTGACACACAATCCACTGAAGGAAACCAAGTAGGAAATGTATGCTCTCTGGATATTGCCTATTTATTATAAAATGTTAAAATATTATAAAATATGAAAATGGTGTTGGAGTACATTTTCAAAGATAAAGATCTAATTAAATTGAAACTACCCTTTACTAGAAATAGTAAAGGGGACATATTTGATTTGTAAAGGTTAGATCTGAGGGTTTTGAATTTGATTTTGTTTTGAAGTTTGTCAAAAATATATGGCCATGTTTAACAAATAAAGACATAGAGCCTGATTCTGCTATACTTATTTTGGGTGATAGGTTATTTCCAGAATAGTCCCATTGCTTTTAATGATCTGTCTTCCTCCTATCCGGCTACTAACTTAGGTAGGTCCCCAGTATGAGACTCATCTTACACATAGTTATCTTTCTCTCGTGATTTTTAAGTTAGGCAGTACTATTACCCCCTCCCCCCTCTTTTACAGATGAAAAATGAGATACAAACAAATTGAATGAATTCTGTGTGATTAAACTGGTAGTCAGTAGGATGGTAGGTAATTGATTTTTTGTATTGTAGATTAATGTCCTAACCATAATACTATCCTTCAGCAGGACTTGTGGAGTAAGGTACTATTCCATATGAGTAGAAGTATCATAACCTAGACCATAGTAATGAAGGGAAATAGCTTTACTTATTCACTTTAAGTGAATTTAATCCTTGTGCAAGATCCCAGAATAATTACCCTGCAGACAGAAAACATCTATTTATCAACAGCACAGGTCAGCAGTTCAATGAATTCTTGTCTAGGCCTGGAATGAGGTATCTCTCCAGGGACAGGGAAGAAGCTAGCTTAGTGCTATGCTCCAGTTCTCTGGTTATCTGAATGCTAAATTGCAGATAGTAGTGGTGCATTTTGTCCAAATCATTTCAGGAGAAGGAAGATAGCAAGTAGTTCACAATACAAGAGCAAATAGTTCTAATCACACATTTAAAATCTGTTAGTGGGTAAAGAAAAGCGTATTTCTTTCTTCATACTCTCCTATAAGATACAATAGACATTATTGTCGAATAAAACATGTAATGCTCTACAACATAACATGCTCAATAGGAGCATGCACATCTGGAATAATGGAAGACTATAATCTTAAGATTAATATTTAATATTTGTCATGGCTTGGGAAAAAAGTGTTAAATTGTTACTTGACAGGAATAAACTGAATGCACAATTATCCAATTATCATAATTGGAAATAAATTTGTATCTTTTGCTTGCTATGAATAACCCATGAAATCTCTTTATAACTACTGGAAAGTCTGTTCTATACTGATTTATAACTGGACAATATATATCATCTTAGTTGTTCAATGTTTCATTCATTCAATACCAGTTAGTACATGGTATGTTTTGTTACCATTAGCTGTGGTTAAAATGGTGAAGTATTAATAATTTTCCTATATTACTTAGATGTTGAATCAGTTTTTTAAAGATAAGCCATCACTGCCCTTTCCAATTAATCAATCCTAGGCCATGTGATTATAATAAATCAACACATATTACCTTTGCTCATGTCTGCACCTGAGCTTTAACATATCTGTGAGATGAACCAGCTCATGATTTTTAAAGGGACATGGTTCAAATCTTCTAAACAAGGGCTTGATTGTGGTCTTATTAAAGATAAGGGCAGCACTGTCATTCTTTGTGGCTGCAGAGTACATAACAAAGAGAAACCATTTTAAATTGAAACAACAGAAATTTCGACTGGATGTTAGGAATAGTTGAGCATTGAATCAGATTACCTAGAGGGATTGTGGAATTTCCATCCTTAGAAGATTTTAAGAGCAGGTTAGACAAACATTTGCCTGGGCTGGTTTAACTAAATCAGAGATGTATAATACACGCTTTCCTAAGCAGAGGGCTTACTTCATCAGATGTTGTGAAGGCACTGCAGGGAGCAGAGCTGCTAAATAGAAAGCAGTGGTTAGAATACAAAGGATAGGGAAAGAGGAGGGAGCACTGCTGAGAGAGGCAAGTTGGGTAGAAGGGAGACTTCAAACTAAGATAAAGTTAACTGTCTGTCTCTGGGATGGTTTAGACTGGGATGATCCAGCCTTGAGCAGGTGGTTGGACTACATGACCTCCTAAAGGTCCCTTCTAGCCCTACTTTCCTCTGATTCTGTGTGTTTCTCAACTTCTACAATTTGGGGGCAAAACAAGAAAGAAACAGTGGGAGAAATTATTCTGGAAGTGTTTACACTGCTGCAGGACTTTCTGGCAAGTGAAAATCCAGTGTTTCAAACCCTGAAGTCCTTCATTGGCAGCATATTCTGTCAATAGTAACTTATGCCAAAATGCTCTTATTGAAAGCTGTACTTGTAGAGTAAGATACTATATGAGTGTGGAAGACCTTGCCCTATGGTTTTTAGTTGGACATTGATTGCAATAGGACTTTCCTTGAATAAGGATTGACAGAGATTTTCAAAGATTTTTAGGCTCCCAAATCTGCAGAAAGGTGCTTGGTCAGATTTTTCAAGAGGGCATTATCTGGTTGGGCAGGTAAATTCCACTGAAACCTTGGCCCAATGTGTTTAAAGTCTGGAATTATTTTGTCATACATATTACTCTAATGACAGTGACACACGTGAATACCCTGTATGCCATCTTGTCTGAAATCTTGCACAGAAAACCAATTTCCCACTTGAATTCTGTTACCTAAAATCACCCTAAATAATCTATAATAAAATGTAAAACTTCCTTGAATAAGTACTAAAGGCTTTATAACTACAGTAAGTAGGTATCCAGGAAGGCTTCATAGCTTTATTTGGATAATTTAGCAAGCTGTTTTTCTCTTTAACCTTCTCCCTGTATTTTATTTTACACTCAGATATGTATCAATGGGAAATTTCATAAGTTTGTTGCGAGTTCAGCATGTACCAAGGTAAACAGACTCTTTTGTTGAATGATGTTACTTATTCTATCAATATTTAATATGGAGGAGCCAATGAACTGAATAATTTGGTAGATGTTGCAGTGATGGGAGGGGAGAGGTATGCTGTTTATGATGAGAATATTGCTTCTTTTCATAGCAATATAGTCGATAGAAATAAACACTGGATACTGTATTATAATGAAAGAAAGTAATTTTAATAGTATAATATTAGATACATAACACCTTAATAGTTTCTCTGGAATTCGCTTGAGGATTCAGTGTAGTCTCTTTTACTCAGTTGCTCAGGAGCTGCATGACGCACCAAGGTCAGTTCCCAGGGCATCATGCATGATGTGTATCATCAAAAATATATCAGTTCCTCCTGGGGTTTGTCTGTTTCTCCCTCTGACCCTTTCTAAAGCTTCTGTTATGTGTTGAGTGGGTTTTTATAACTCTGGAAGTAAGATTGGGTCAGTTTGCCTTCACCAGCATTATTCCTGGTTAGTTTTTTTTCAGCACAGAGCATTGCATCTGAATATGAAAATGCATTCTGAGTGAAACATTGGCAACTCTAGAATAGCATCATTTCCAGTTATTACTGAAAATACACCATGTTGCATTTATTACATAGTAGGCACGTCTACATGTGAAATTAGTGCAGCTGAATAAACTCTGGCACAGTTTGTGCTTGCAGGTGCCACATTTGCCTGTGTGCCCAGGACTGCAGGATGTTGAGCTGGGCTGGAGCAGCCCTGGCTGACAGGGGGCCCCAGAGGTCAGCCTGGCAGTCCAGGGCTGCTCCAACCTGGCTCAATGCGCTTCAGGGCTAGCTGGCAGGTAGCCTCCACACTGAAACACCCTCATGCCCCAGCCAGGCCCGTCCCTGTCTATACGTACGTTGCAGCAGAGTAAACAATTCCACCGTAAGATAGTACTTGTGTCTGGCAGCACTGTCCTAGGGCAGAGTTAATTAGTTTACACAATCGTAATACCACTGCACTTGTAGATGGTGACATTTTACTGTAGAGCTAATTAGTCAACTCATGCAGACATGCCCAGTGTCACTGAGTACATGGACCCATAAGTGTTACACAGATCATAATTCATGAAATGTTCAGCCACACTTGAAGTAGTTCTCTCTCTTTCTAGACATCCTAATTATTCTTCACTGTTTGACTCACTATGCAGCTTGTAAATAAATACGTTCTTGTGAACACACAAATGGCCTGAATACATAAAGACACTGCATCTGCCATTAAAAAATCAGTAGTATGCTTCCTCTTTGCTAGTGATACTGATTACTTCCTCTTTCTTTTCATTTCTCTGCCACCTGTGTAGCTAATAGAAATATGATAAATAGTGGTGAGGTCTCACAAACCACAGAGCCATGCTTAATGTATTGTGTACTGCTTCCCCAGCTCTCTGCTCCAGGAGCTCCTTCCAACATTCAAAACTACTGAGCAACTTCAAAGTGCTGCTATTAAAAAAGAATAATTTATAAGAGAAATGTTTCCTTCTACTCTTCCCCAAACATAAGGCCAGAAGGGCCCACCTGGATCCCATCCACAGCAATCACAGACAACCAAGTAATAGGCATTAAATGTAAAAGGGTCTGCAAGAACATCCATCTACATGTTGTGCCCACAAGCCACAAGTGGTAAAATACTCCTTAACCTACCCCCAGCTAGCACCTTTACTTCAAAAAATCCAAGAGACTAAAAAACAATATACCATAGGAGGGGAGCAGGAGAGACCTGGGTACAGTCAATGCTATAGGTCTCTGTAATATGAGGGAATCTGTTAGGTAAAATATGTCCAGATGATTCTAAGAAGTGGAACTTGGGTCACACTACAGAGCAAGGCAAAAAAAAAAAAAATCCCTGCTAGTTTCACTTGGGCTGAATTCTCCCCTTTGTGGACATTTTCTCCATTACAAACACACCATTTCTCCTAGTTACAGATTCCAGGAGGGAGCCAGTAAGAGATAATAGCTACTGTAGACATAAAAAATGTCAAACTTAAAGTCTAAAATATTGTTGAACCTCTACACTGGAAAGATAGGCAAAAGGCAAGGCAGGGTAGCGCCTTAGAGATGAACTGGTTCAGAGGCATGCGCTTTTGTAGGCAACAACTTTGTTAGACATTAATGTCAAATGATGCATCTGATAAAGTAAGCTGGTGCCTGTGAAAGCTCATGCCTCACTGAACAAGTCAGTCTCTAAGGTGCCACCCTTATCAGTTTTCTGCCTTACTTCAGACAAATGTGGCTAGCCACCATTGTATACTGGCAAGAGACATTTTGGCTTCCCCAAGTGAGCCAGGACTGTTTCTAGCCCTGGAAGGGACTGAGAGCAGACAACTGAAAACCATGACGTTTTATTAATAGAAGGAATTTATTTCATTTTTAAAGAGTTTCATGGCTCCTTCTAAACTATTTGAGGCAGGACTCAGGGGGCACATGCAGACGAGTGCATACATGTGGTATGTGGCACTGCAGACCTATCTGTGGCGCCGTACACCACACATGCAGGTGTTCCCTGTGCTGCTAATTTGCAGCACACATCAGGGAAGGGGAGGGTGTTGATACCAGGAGATCCTGGTATAAAAATAAAATGGGATGGTGCGTGTGGCAGCAGTGTGGCCCAAAACTAGAGCCTGGTTAACCGGAGCCACGCTCCAGCTGCTGATCAGGCTCCCTGCTACAGGATTGCTGCTGCTGCAGCCCCCCGAGGCCCCCAGAACCCCAGAAAAGGCTGCTGGGGCCAGCTCAGGTGCTGGCCCTGGCCTCCCCTACCCCACCTGGGCAACGTGCCACGCTCCAGAGCATGTGAACAGTTG